CACGAAGCCATTGTTATTCAAAAGTTTTTGGCGAAAAAAATCAAATTTTTTTATTTGTCAAATACACTACTCCCTAATATGTCTTCGTCCAACTTTTTTCATTTCTCAAATTTCTAATTGCCACTTAAATGAAGCCGTTGCGAGTTAGTTGCGTCTACAAAAGATAATTTGCTAAAATAGTTCAGTGCAGTATCACTGAACCAACCAACAAGAAATATATAAAGAATTAAGTATATCATATCATGGCACTCGATGATGTCACCGGAATGAAATATGTGGTGATTAAATAATCATGGCACTTGATGAGGTGACCGATTGAAATTTGTGGAGAATAATGGTAATCATGGCACTCGATGATGTCACCGGAATGAAATATGTGGAAAATTGAGTTAATCAATGTGTAGACTCATTATGTTGAGTATGGCATTCGATGGGTCACCGATTAAATTTGTTAAGAATTGAATTAATCGCTGAGTTCGGGCACCAGATCTAAATATGTGGAGGATTGAATTAATTCGAGGGGATCACCAGAATATTGGCATTCGTTGGTGTCACCGTATTGGAATTTGTGAAGAATTGACTTAATTATAGTACTTAAGTCACCGAAATGAAATATGTGGGTGTATGAGTTAATAATGACTCTCAAAGGGTAGTCACCGGAATAAAATATATGCCAGATTGAGTTAACTCAGCACATAATGGTGTCACCAGAATGAAATATGTGGCGGATTTGATTAAATATCTACTTCATCTACTTTATCCAATAATTCTAGATACTTTGTACTTCAAATTATTTCAATCAGTTTCATGTATTCACAGAAAAGTAATAGTGTAATGATATAAGGAAAAATCCATCAAATGAGGCCAATGTAGAGAAAGAAGAATGCCTTTTTTATTGAAAGCAGTTATGCTTTGTTAATTGGAAAGACGATCACATGACGCCGGAATATTCAGGTTAGGTTGGATTAAATTATTTTGGCGACACTAAGGATTCACTTAGGTGTATTAACTCACTGCGTTGCAGTATAAGAACTGAGGGCTTAAATTTTTTGAATCTTTAAATCTTTAGCAAAAATCAAAATGTGTGTTAACAAGAAACTTCTGGAAATGGACATGATCCTTAAAAAAGTAAGCCCGTACCATAGTTAATCGACGCATAAACTGGGCAGTAAACTGGGAACACTATCAACTTGTGTACAGATGCCTGCATATCCATTGCTATACCCACCTTCTATTAAATTACTCAATATAGAAAAAGTCGTAGCATTATGCCATAATCTTTCAAATGTATCGCAATATTATCTAAAGCACCTTGTCTAGCTTGCAGTTACCGAAAACATCGCTATGATCCAGAGTAGAGAAATATTAAACCGCATCGACATCTCATTCAGAAATGTGTAGCAGTCAAAATACTGTTCCGGATGTGAATTGGACTGGACTCAGTGACTATCTGATAGCATACGTATATTTCGATGCCGTATATTATTCACGTCTAGACAAGCTATAGCTTTCAAAATAGCAATCTCTTCCGTCTAATAAACATTACAGTGATCAGAAATTCCTTAATATATAGATTTATTGATTCCCTCCAAGTAAATCCTTTGCCTGCTCCACTACCTGCTCTACTACCTATTGTCAGTATAAATGATTAAACTCTCTTCTAAAAAGGGACCTCCCAACAGCCAGGTATCTCCAGATGGAAAATTGATGAAAGAGATATTCATGAAAGACAATGTATATAAAAAAAATTATATTTATAATATATACCTATATAATAATTTTTTTTTATTTTGCTGTAATAACATTTTAATTAACTATACCACATCTCTGCACAATAGACCCTTTGCCAATAGTTCACGACTTTTCAAAAATTTTAAAGTTTTTAAAAAATTTATGACATTTTTTACAAAAATTAATTAAAATAACTGTCAATTATTTTATTTTGAAAGACATGTACACATACATATAAAAATAATTTTTTGTAAGGTTACTAACTTTTTGGTGCTCTTATTTCTTTTGACAGGGTTTCACGGAATTGGCCAGCAAAACATCAGCACAGCAACTCGTGAAAATCCTGAATGACCTTTTTGCTCGCTTCGATAGAATCGCAGAGGTGAGTATGGATTCTACAAAAAATAAATTTGAATTTATGTAGAAATCTACTATAAAACCGTTTAGGTGAGCTTAGTGGGATTGGTGGTGCATGTGTGATGGCCACATTCGGTGAAATTTTGCATAATATTTATAGCAATTTAATTTTTAGATACGAGTATTTCGTGAATTTTTAAAACACATTATTTTCTGTTTATCTTTTTTTTTTGTGTTAATAATCTAGATTTAAGATAGTTAAGTGTCAAATGCAAAAAGTGCAAAATTCACATTTTGGTTGTTATGAAAAAGCAAAATTTCAATTATAATTTGCATTTCTATTTCATGGGAAATTCAATTTTCACACCGAAAAAAATGCAGATGACACTAATCAAATGTGATATCTGCAATAAGTATGAAATATTTTAAATAGAAAAGAGATATATATATAAACTTAATAATATTTTGGCGCATATGACAATGATTATAGGACTTAGGTGCGTAGGATTCAAGTTTGTGGGACATAAGTTCGTATAATTTAGCACTTTTAGTTTTTGAATTTTTTCTAAATTTAAAAATCACATAAATAAAATAGAGTAAAAATAAAATAGAGTAAAAATGATATATGTATTTATATATATGTATGTCATATAATCGCAAAGTAGAACTAACAGGACATTGTAAACTAAAATACCACCTTACCAGTCTTGGTATATATACAGACGGAAACTGTATATTCTTCGAAGAGCATGAAGAGTCATCCATACAAGTGCTGTTAGAATGCCCGACGCTAATAAACACACGCGGTAAACTCCTTAAAACACACGGAATACCTTAATACCTTAAAGTACGTTCTCTACTACTTTTATCGACATCCGGAAGAATGCACAATAGACCTAGCAGTCGCAGTACCACAACACATATTAATAATAACAGTGTAAAAATATCAAACACTACAAATTTAATTTAAGGAATCCCTAAAAGTAGGCAATAAATTTTAAAATTAATGAAACTTCAATAGATCTTTAATATATCGAATAATGCTCGGAAAAATTGATATAACTCACTGCAATGCTGAAAAATACTTATTTAATATCATTTCTAATAGATGTGCCTTCTCAAAAAGGCATTACATGTATAGCCATATGTTTAGCATTGTATCAAAGATCTAGATAATAAGTCTAAACATTTTCTAATCTTTGATTTTTTGGAATTTGCAATTATAGCTATAAATACAATTCTGACTTTACTTAGTTGCGTTGATAAGTTCCAAATATAGCACAAAATTTGCATATTTTTTTACTTAAAACCCATTTTATCGTTCTTTAGAGTATATTCAACTATAAAATGAAGCATACTCAGTCTTATAAATTTCATCACTGCTTTTGCATCTTATTCTCTCCAAATGTCCAATGTTAAATTTTTTAAATTGCTTTACCGTTTTCTCCATAGCAAAATTCTCACATGTTATGTATGTATAGTGCGGTCACAATCATTAATTTTTCTTCGCTACTGAGATCGGTGCATAGTTGTTGGAGTATTTATCTAAAACTACTGTAGAAAACCCGAGATTATACTTTGTTAAGAGTTGGGTTGTCGACCCATGTGAGGTTAAGTAAATTATTTGAAAGGGTTTTTTAAAATATGCATTAGCCAATAATTTCTAGACACTTTGACAATTGTGAAATAATTTAATATTTAATATAAGGACCACTTCATTTTGGAACCTTTTGTTTATCACCCACTTTGATGTTAGTTAGCCATTAATGGTATTCACTTTGTTTTGGAAATACTGTTAGCTTCAGTGTTTTTTATGAAGCTTACGAAATCTGTTACTCCACTAAAGTGGAGTATGGTATTACTGAAACCTCTTGAGCATGTTAAAGTGACAGTTCTTCAAAAAGTCTGTTAAAGTTCGTTTCACTATTTTAATTCTTACTACCTTATTAAATTATTAAGATATTCAATACCTAATTTAGTTTAACAACAGTTGTAAGTCGTAAAATCCTATGTTGTCATTATATTGTAATATTATGACTTAACAGAAACTATTTTATTTAATAAGAAGGTTTTCGGAGCAGTTGTGAATTGTTGGAATTCACACTGTTCGAAAAACGTCTCTATGAAAATATTCCTATATTTTTAATAGATAGCAATTTTTTGAATATTTTTTAAAAATTTTTGTTTAAAATATTTGTAGCGTTTGACCTTCAGTTTCCCTTGTTTTTAGCTGCATTTTCAGTTAATGGATTAAAAAAAAAAACTTATTTCATATTTTTTATGCTAAAATAAAAGAAACTGCGTTCTTAAAAATTTGTATATAAAACGAAACACTTACCAATCTGGACATGTTCATCGTAACCCCACCATTTCACATTTTACATTACATTAAGTTTATGGGAGTATAAATTTTTTCTTATATGCAAATTATGAGCTATCGATGCAGCTCTGCTTCATTGGCTCCAACGTAAAGAAAACTCAATTTTAATATTAAAATCAACTTGAAAATGATTTATCATCCTATGTTTCCTTATTGCTTCAAGGATAATCACTGTTTACGGGTTAAATTGCTGGGCGATTGTTATTATTGCGTGTCCCAATTCGAGAGCGATAACTGGAAAACACGTCCGGATCATGCAGTTTGCAGTGTCGAGACAGGACTTCACATGATAAGAGCTATTAAAGATGTCAGACTGCACACGCATGTAAGTAAAAAAGAAAAGAGTTTTTATGTTAAAATAATAAATAAAATCAACACACACAAAAAATTGTGTGTAAATTCATTTTTTATTTATTACCTTTTAAATTTTTAAAATATTTTTCGGAATCGTTTGCATAAATACCCAAGCACCCATGTGTATGCATGTTATGGGCACAGTGGCCCAAAGGTGCTATATCATAAATATGTGCCATGTGTTGGTATATTTATACTAGATGGCATGTGTTCAGCTTTAGTGTGTGAATGAAATTCTGCATGCAAATTTTTAGCAATGCTTTGGGCTGCAATGAAATATTCAACAGATTTGAGTAAAAACCAAAGATTCATAAATTTTTATACCATTTCCTTTGCACTTTTGCCTTATATTTCATTTAATATTTTATATTTCCTTTAATAAATGCAGTATGACAGCTGAAAGCAAAGATTGTTTGTAAATCATTTGTATGCAAATGAACTAAATATCAATCAAAAGCAAAAAGGTCTTAATTTTTTACTCCTAAATAAACTATTTGGAAATTTAATAGTAATATTAAAAATGAATAATAATAAAGATATAAAACTAAAAGGAATACAGTATTGCATTATTATCTTATATATTTTTGCTCGAAATTACTGCACCTGCCTGCAACATAATAAAGTAACATAACTCATACGCTCTGTTGCACCAATAAAGTGCACAACAAAGTAGCGCTGACAAAGTGATAAACGGTAATGCTGGCAATGTGATATGAAATAAATAACAAAGCTCCAGAGTCAACCGTATTAGTACGTTTTGATGCGGGCCATTTTCTGTAAACAAACTGTCAATTTTACTCTTGTGGTCCTAAGTCCCATAAATTGAAACAGAATACATTTAACTAATCTATTCACCAATTTGTTTACATTTGAACATATATTTCATCCTTCTATATGTGTTCATATTCCTAATCCTTTTACAATTTTAATTACAGGTCGATTTAAATATGCGCATTGGCATCCATAGCGGTTCGGTTATGTGCGGCGTTTTGGGTAACAAAAAATGGCATTTTGATGTTTGGTCAAATGACGTTATAATTGCCAATCACATGGAATCCGGTGGAATACCAGGGTGAGTTTAATAATTTCAACAAACAATTAAATCGTGTTTATGTAGAATAATTGATAAATTGAAAAATGATATGAGAAAATGTAGCTGAAATAATTTCCATAATCATAACAATTAATTGCTTTTGAATAGGAAAAGCATGCGAAATACATATAAAATAAATATAAAAAAAGTTTTTGGCAACTAAATGAAAAGTAAAAATATTGTAAAATCATAAATCATTATTATTAGAAAATAAAATATGATATAAACGACTTTCTCATATCTCTATCTAGTGTGTGGTAACAAAACGGCGCCTACGCACAAGCTAGGTGAGAAAGCTATGCTATTACTTAAACCAACCCACCAACCAACAGCTTGAACTAAAAGAATATTTTAGTTCTTATACTATATAATATATAATATATATATAATATATAGTATATAATATATAGTATAGTATTTTATACTATAGTATAGTATTTTCACTAGACGCAATCCTATAAACTAATCTACATATGTATTAGGACTATTAATAAACACTTCAACATGCTTTGATATTTAGACTCCAGTTGAGCCCATTGAGTTCAACGACCTGCCATTTAAAGTTACTCACTTACTAAGTTGACCATTACAGACGTGAGTCGTTCTTGGCTGCGTCCAATATCCTCCGCCAGCCCGCCCGATCAGTAACTTCGTATCTTCTACCGCGTTTTCCACCTGCGGATACCGTAGAATTTTTCTCTCGAATGCTCCTTTTCATCACTGTTGGTAATTGTACATGTTCTGCAACACACAGCAGGTCAGACAAGAGACTTATAGAGCATAATTTTGATTTCTCGAGACAGGCCTTTGTTTCTCAGTTGTATGATTAGCCTAAAATAACAGCTGTTGGCAAGAGTTATTCTTCGTTGAATTTCTAGTCTAACGTCATTATTAGTGTTAACGCTGGAATCCAAATAAATTACGCCCGCTGGAAGTGCTGAACCAATTTTCTAGCAATCATTAAATTTTCAGAAATCAGTAGTAAATAGATAGGAAAAATAGTAGTAAAAAGTAAAAAAGAATTTAAATCTACTTAGAATGAAAAATCTATTAGCATTTAAACTCGATGAGTCGAAGCAGCTATTTGAGTGTTAGTATCATTTAATCCAATTCTTGAAAGCTGGTAATACACTAGAGTAGGTGCAGTTCCAGTTACTAATGTGAGTTCAGATCTACTTAAACTGAAAAGCATATTAGCTTTTTTATTTCTCATGTACTATTTGGTTTCTGTAGCCGTTTAATAGACAACTTCAAGTCCTTTAAGGAAATTAAAAACATCCATCTCTGCAAACATGTCGGGTACTTTATTACAGTCCCTTTTCTTGAATGAAAGTATCCAGATAAGTTTTACTATATTTATACTGACTAATTCTCACATAAACTTTGAATGCCCTTGCATCAAGTGATTCGAAATTGTATTCGATATGAATATAGAATAGTGCTGCCCCTGCCAGCTACAGCCGAAGACAGATTTATGATCATTTTTTGCATCAGACTTCTTTTGCAATCAAATCAAAGGCTACATGGTGAACCCTTTTCAAATATAGAACCACTGACTTTGTACATAGAAGCAAATCAGAAGTATTTAGTCTAATATCTGTTTAACAGGATAGTGAACCATAGGACGGGTCTAAACTCAGCCTGTCCTGCAGTGTCTCTTGTATTACTTGTCTACCGGAGTTTGAAGAAAGAACACCAAAAAACCTGCTTTTCTAGCCTTCTAAACGTCTCCTAGTTAAGAAATTATTTTGCCATGGAAACATTTGCTATTATTCTGTTATTTATAGACTTGATTGGTAATTTGGCAAGTATGTCTTTTTTAGATGTCTAGTCTTTTTGAAACACTTTCACAAGTGCAAGTGACACTTCTTTAAGCATGTATATTTTTTTTCATATAGAAAATTATATTAATAAATCAAAATTCATTTTTGCTAAAACCTATAAAATTTAATTTACAAATTCCAATTCAAATTATTTTTACCTGTTCACTATGTACTACACTGAGAAAAATATGTTCTAACCTCATACTAATTAAATTGATCTAATCATTTTGTTAGAGCAAGTTTATCTCATGTGGTAGAGAAGATATAAAAAACCAACATGTGGTAAGGTTGAACCAACATGATGTGTCGAGTAAGAATATTTCGACCTAAGATTTAGTTAAAATCTGGTTAAATCAACCAAATTATTTTTCTAAGTGTAGGTACATTCGGTTGGGTATTTACAACTCTATGTGGGTTGATTGTGAACTAAATATAATTTTTTTGTTCCCACAAATTCATGATAT